TCAAACACTCAAAAGTGTTTATTATCGGTCTCACACCGGAACAAGTCAATAAGTTGTTTTTATAAACAATCCCAAACACCCCCTATATGTTTATATGTGAACCGGTGTGATTCACATATAAACTATTTTAACTGATTCATATATGAATTAATTAATTCATTCACGTATAAACCCTTGTGATTCACATATGAACTTGTGGGTTCATATGTGAATTAGTTAAATAGTTCATATGTGAACTAACTAACAGTTTCACACATGAACATATAGTTCTTATGTGAATCACACAGGTTCATATATGAACATGTTTGCTGTCCATTTGTAAAAATTATAAAACTACCATTCTATCTTTCACATAACTGTGCAAATAATTATTCGGTGCTTCACAGTCAAAGTCGTAAATATTGACCAGATGAAGTGCCATGATCTATACTTTACTTCTCAAATATTTACCACTTCTAAAATAGACCTTTCCCTACATATACATTCCTTAGGCATTGTTTGACAAACGTAAGTTATCTTATGAAACATTTCTAACAAATTTTCTAAAATTTCTCCAAAATGGACAATCAAACTTCAAAATCTCCAAAAAAAATTGCATCCAACTCCAACAGCTTTCCATTTTTTATATTAAAACATTTATTATATTATTAGAATATTTCATACCTTAAATATTATTTCTCTCACCTGAACATTTAATTCCAAGATTTCTTAATAATAGAATATAATAAAAAAAAAATCTCTCATGGTAATCATTTTTGGGGATTTCTCCGAATTTGGAGATTTTTGCACTTTTTCTCATCCTTTCTTCATTTTGGAAAATGTTTTTGTACAATCTGTTAGAGCAAAAAATTACCTAAAATCCACATTTTCTCTATTTTGGAGAATCTATTGGAAATGCTCTAAAACAGCTTATTGAAAAACTAATTGGGGATAGATTATTAGAATCTTATTGTCAATTTTTTTTATTATAACCTTGATTAATATTAATTCTTATATATTATTATTAATTTATTAATAAATTAATGAATATTAATTTTAATTAGTTAACTAATATTAATGTTAATTTATTAATTAATTATTAATTTAAATTTATWTATAGTTACTATTAATTAATTTTAATTATAAATAATATTAATTATTAATTATTATTAGTTCAAATTATTAATTAATTTTAAATATAGATAATTTATTGGTATGAATTATTGATTATTTAAAAACATTATTAATATTATCAAATATTTTTATATTATTATTATTATTCAATATATTTAATTGTTAAAATACAAATATAATAACTTTAAATAGGTTATGTAAGTTGGATAAATTGCATGAAAATGTAAATACTTTGATATTGATTTCTATTTTGATTAACATAGTTTCAAAATCTTCATTTTGTTATATGAGATGTAATATCTCAAACATTTAAGTACCAATTTTTTTAAATTGAGGGACATTTTTGTCTTTTAATTATTTCTTTAATTTTCTTTAATGCTTCACTTGTACAATAAAAGTTTAATGTATTATTTTTTTTAAAGAAATAATTAAAAGGCAAAAATGCTTCTCAATTTAAAACAATGAGTACTTAAATGTTTAAGATATCACATCTCAGGTACCAAAATAAAGATTTAAAAACTACATTACCTAAAAATAGGAATCATACCAAAATATATTATTTTTTCATTCAATTTGCCCTTGTAAATTATATAAAGAGTGAATTACGCTGGTGGTCCCTATAGTTTGCTTAAATTTTGGATTTGGTTCATGAAACAAATTATTTACACTGATGGTCCCTCACTTTATATTTTCATAACACCCATGATCCCTCTACTTAACAACATTAGTTAGCAACCGTTATGAAAGACTAGTCAAGCTTTGAACAAACTATAGGGACCAAAAGTGTAGTCTTCTCTAAAATTTAATTTCATTCACCTTTTTTCAGATATTTTTTCTATATACATTCACAAATCAAATTTTCTTAAAATAATTTAAAATCTTTATATTTATTTAAAAACTATTAAATTCACATAATAAATTTAGAGTCAAGTTTAAAAAACAAAAAAAATAAATATAAAATCACATGTCTTTTGAGTTGGCATTTAAAATATATGAGCAAAATGTTTTTTCTTTTGAATAACCACGAGTTTTTGGACGAACTTACATACAATGACTAATCCTTTGGACGACCACGAATAGTCTGGAATCATCACATGTGAACTTCAATGGCTGTTAGGGCTTTGATAGCGTTATTATTAATATATAGTCAAACTACAAATAATTAATATAATAACAAAGTAAAATTATAAAATTAAGTTTAAAAACACCGATTATTCAAACAATTTAAAAAAACTATCACTATAACAAAATTAAGTGTATATGATACCAAAAAAATTAAGCGTCTTAATAGATTAAAATTGTTAATACAACGTTTTGTATTATAAGTATCCTAAAAACTTGTTAGGACATCCAAAATTGTCTTATAAACTTATTGCAATGACTATAGATCAGACACTTTATTTTTTGGTTCTATAAATTAGGTCTTATAAAATGGTCTATTATGACACTTAATTTTTTTTGGCATTATATGAACCTAATTTTGTTGTACCGATAGTTTTTCTTAATTGTTTGAATAATCAATATTTTTATAATTTTTATTTTATTGTTATTTTAATTATTTATAGTATATTAACAATCTCACATTAACCAAACTTAATTTTCAATATATATTGTTCTCAAATTTCAATTACCAACCCACAAAATATGTGAATTTATTTTGATTTCCTTTGTTTAAAAATGAGATTTTTAATGCTAATTTTTATGAGTTGAATAGTTTTTAAACAAATGTAAAGATTTTTATTTAATATGTATTTTATTTTAATAAATTTGATTTGTGATTGGATTATAGAATGTTTTCTTTAAAAAAATCATGAATCACATTAAAGAGTATATAACACTTTTGATCTCAATAGTTTGTTCAAAGACCGATTAGTTCTTTATAACAGTTGCTACTAAAATTATTAAGAGGAGGGATCATATGTGTTATAAAAGTGAAAAATTAGAGACCATCAGTGTAGATAGTTTATTTGAAATACTAAATCCAAAATTTAAGCAAACCATAGAGACCACCGGTGCAATTCACTCTTACATAAAAGTTAAAGTTATATATTTCTTTTGTTTTATACCAATAAATTGCATTAAAAAATAATATACTTTTAGTTTGATTCTTATTTCATGTAACACATTTTTAAACTTTCATTTTAATATCTAAGATTTTAAATCTCGAACATTTAAATATCTAACATGCTTAATTAGCAATTGATATAAGATACAATTAATTTAAATAACGTTTATTACTATATTTAAATTTATATTATTTATAAATATATACTTTTTTTAATTTAAATTTAACAACCATTCTTAAATTAGAAATTTATAATCTAAAAGAACATCTAAAATATTATTAAAAATTATATAACTCATTCTTCATCACAAAACATATAAACATAACCCAAAAAATCTTAAATATCTATCTTCCTTAACTCAACTCAAAATATGAACATAACCCAAAAATTCTTAGAACAAATGTGTTCTTCAACTTAACACAATGACAACATCAGAATCAACGTAAATAAAGAAAATACTATTGTATCTCAAACAATACAAAATCACAAATCAAAAGTTTGAATCAACTATGGTTTCTCAAAAAACCGTAAAAACAAGACCAACAAGAAGATCCTAAATCTTCGATTCTGGTATGGTTTTTTCAAATTCGGTATCAAAAGACGTGAGGACCTTGAAATCCAAGCGTTATTTATTAAATAGACACGGTAACCTCAAAATTTCATATTTTAATATTGAAACAGTTAATGTTTGTCTTAAAAATAAGGTGGGCAATTGATGACTTGAACAGTTTTCATGGCTGGAGTTTGTGACGGATGTGAAGAAGGTTAGAAACTTGATCATAGTTGGTTTTTTCAAGTTATATCAAGTAAACTTGTTACCTAAATGTTTGAATCTTCAAATTTCATGTACTAGAATGAAAATTTTAAAAATATGTTATCAAAAATAGGAATTGAACCAATGTAGATTACATTTTCATGCAATTTGTCCCTTCATAAATAATAAAACTTTTGATAAGTATTTTAATAAAATATTTAATTTAATATTTTTAGAAAAATTATTAATTAACTAAAATATATAAGATTGACCATATTTAACTTTGTATTTATTAATATTACATATAATGTTTATTTGAAATCATCATTTAATATAGATATTTTCTAAAATTTGAAATTGTTATACAATTTCATTTTTTTAACATTATATATAAAACAATAATAAATGAAACTGAAGGGGTGTTTGAGATTGTTTATAAAAACAACTTATTAACTTATTCCTATATGCCATCAGTAATAAACACTTTTAAGTGTTCGGATAAACAGTTTATACTAATACCAAACTGATAATAATTTTTTTTAAAAAAAGTTAAATCATTCTAACTTATAATAAGTTGATAAGGCTTTATAGGAAAGAATAAGTTGTTTCAAATAAGCAATCCCAAACACCCCTGAAATCCATTGATTAACATATTATATTATTCATTTATTAATATATTGTATTATTAATAAATTATTTTAAATATATATTACAAAATATTAAATTTTAGCAATTTTTGAACATGTTATTTTTTATTATTCAACAAATTTATAAATCAAGTTTATGTAAAAACGTATTTATACGTACAAATATGATCTATGATTCCAAGTGAAAAAAAGACATTTTATAGAATCTCAATCCTTCAGTTCCAGAAAAATCTCAATGTCTATGCGTAGTTGAACAATCACCATATCTGCTCAGACTGATGAATTGCAATCTCATTGATTCCTTCCTTAGAATGAATCTCTGAAGTCTGACATGTGATTGGATTCATTAAATCATCATCGCAGACACCAAAACATCAATAGCTCGAATAATAATGTTTATACGTTGTTGAACAATTACCATATCTGCTCAGACTGATGATATGCAATCTCATTGATCCCTTCCTTAGAATGAATCTCTGAAGTCTGACATGTGATTGGATTCATTAAATCATCATCGCAGACACCAAAACATCGATAGCTCGAAATATATTCTTTTCAAAGTTGAAACGGTTAAATCATATTGATGTTGTGAATTTGTGGTATTTACAAATCAGACATGCTTCCACTGGAAATCTCCGAACGAAAAACAAAAGGCTAAATTAAAATAGGATGAAACATCTCTATCGATCCAAAACAATGAGTGCAAAATCACAATGAAGAAATGGAGATCAGAATTAGGTTAAAATTTATCAGTCACGACTAATTCAGCAACACGGACCAATTGTATGTTCATCATTTCTCCAATTCCGCAATTTATGAACCAAAAAAAGTTTCTGCGATCAAGTTTTTGCGTATGATAACATATACCGAGAGGGAAGAGATTTAGTTTCTCATCATCAGAGACTTAAATACTAGTAATCACGACATAAGTCGATCATTTTGTTGCAGTTAATTTCTCATCACTTGATAACAAAATCAATAATCCATACGCTAACAAAACACCATTATTGAATTCAAAAAACAAACAAGCAAGCAAAAACTGAGAAATGGCGTACTCACTGAACTGCCATTGATGCTTCAAGGAACCCTCGACCAGTTCACTGGGCCAGTATGGGGATGGATGTAGGGTTAGGGGGATTTTATAGAGAATTTATACGCGCGATATCTGTGGCTGGCAAAAGGAGCCCTAAAATATATTTTATAGCCTTGGGCTTTTTGGCCCATTTGTTTTTGGATTTTTTTCCTGATAAACTAGACCAATAATACATTCTCAAAAGTCAAATCTAGTGATGACTAAATGGGCCCGTCCTGGCCCAAGACTGTTGGAGGACTGGAACTGGGACCGGTTATAGGCCCGACAGTAATGAATCGGTTATTGTTTTTTGGCTTTCTTAAGGATCGAATAAAAAGTAATTTCTCTTTTATATTTAATTAGAAGATTTTTACACTCTGCTACTTTCTTCATTTTGAAGAAGGTTTTAAGATATCTGTTGCAGTGAAAATCCCCAAAATCTTTATTTTTATAGAATTTGTTGGATATTCTAATAAACGCAAATTATTATTTATTATTATTACAATGCAAAACATATAAAACGTGTTAAAGGAAAACCCAAATAGAACAACAGTCAATGGAGATAATTTCTCTACCTATATCATCATATCCTTTAGACGATAATATAATTATCATATAACAATTCAATATTAAAACATAAATCCTAAAATATCAACCTTATAGAATTTTATATAATATTCAAGTCGACAAATCCTAGAGAGAGCAAAAGTATAACTGCAATCTCTGTTTTGTATGATATAATAAAAAATATGTTTAACTATTTTTCATTAATTACAAATTAAATGAATCTTGAGAACTAAATAAATATTGATTGTATTTTGTTACTAAACTTTTATACATAAATATAAATCTTGTATTTATTCAGTGTACGTTTTGTTATCACTATGTGAATAGCATTCTATTTGTGGGCTCAATTTTGTAAGACGCTAAATTTCGAGATGAGATGGGTTTGCGAAGGCTTTTTTTAATGCTTTAAACAGTTGTGTGTGTGTATATATATATATATATATATATTATACACTTATATTATTATAAAGGCGTTTTTATTAAAAATCTGTGAAATGATCAAACACAAAATAGTCAAAGGACTTGGGGTTTAGCAAGCCTCTCCCCGGCCGGAGAGCCTCCAGGACAAGGAGGCGGCATATTATTGACAGCTTCGTGTTTAGGTTATTTCGTTGATCTCCTGATCTTAATCCTAGATATGAATCCTAGATCAATTAGGCAAGGGAAGACTTTGTGTACTAACTTTCTCTTCTTTCTTCTTCTTTTCAATCCCTTGCCACTTCCCTTCTTTGCTAGCATGTACCTGTCTTTGTTTTGCACAAGAGATGGAGTTCCAATCAACCGAGCCACCATGTTTAAGTAGTGAATCTATCGGCACCATAGTTGTGGCATACAACTTTGGACCTAACGGCCACAAACTCACACCATCCATTTCAAATGGGATTTGTCCTGTGAACACACGAGCAATCCAACCGGTTGTAACTTGATCATGAGCGAATTTGGGTTAGCCACAAAATCCGTGAATGCAAACATGGTTAATGTTGTAATTTCGAAACTTTATGTACATATACTAGAGTTTTGATAAACCATGTGAAGTGTTTTCTAATTTATTCAAAACTTATTATTAAAAAAAAAATCTGAGTAAATTACATTTTTGGTCCCTATGTTTCTCGAAAGTAACACTGTTTGTCCCTACAGTTTCAAAATTGTATTTTCGTCACTGTGTTTTGTAAAAACGACTGGATTTGATCTCTCTCTCTCTCTCTCCAAAAATCATTAAATAATCTCATTAGATAAAAGGGCTAATTTAGTGTTTTTGCACTTTTCCTTTGTTTTTGTTTAAAAAATGAACTTACTAATTAAGATTTATAGTAAATGTTATTATTAAAAAAAATCTAATTCATCGAATCATTATACACCTCCATAATTATATTAAACTTCATCTACCAAAATAAAACTTTAATCTAATCAAAAACCTTAACCTAAATAAAACTTCAATGATTCATGATGATCTGGTTCGTGAAAGTCGAGGGACCACAAAACTGGAAAAAAAAATAGGGTAATAAACCTGCTTGTTCTTTGAATATGTTTGCTCCAACAAGATGAGTGAGGATAAGGTAATGCTTGATTTACAACATTGTTGCTCCACTTGATTTGCTTTCTACATATATTGCTCCAACCCTGATTTTCATATGTTCCTCCAGTGAGATAAGTGTGGAAATATCACTGGGAAGAGGTAGGGGACGAGATTTGTCAATGGGGAACTCAACGGATTTGTAGATGTTAGTCGATGGAGTTGGAGACGAGAACAACCTGAGTCGTAGAGTAGGGGAGGGGAAGTGGTGGTGAGGGGAGGAGTTCTGATGAGTGTACGGTGATTGTCAGAGATATGAACTATGGAGTGGCAGTAGACTGTCGGAGATGAACCATGACCGTCGGAGATAAGAGGAGACGACCAAAGTTTTGTTCACTCTAGGAGTTTTGTCCTTTAGGTAAATATTACGCCAAATTACATTTTAGTCCCTATAATAACGTAATTTGCATATCTATTTATTCATTAAATAAAAATGAGATAAAGGTTGAAAAGGACTAAAGTACCCTTCATTTAACAGGGGGTTTTAACGACCATTAAAGGGAGGGATCAAATCCGATCGTTTTTACAAACCACAATGGAAAAACTGTAATTTTGAAACTGCAAGAACGAAAAGTGTTACTTTCGAGAAACCATAAGAACCAAAGATGTAATTTACTCAAAACTTATTGATATAATTGTTTTAAGTATGAGGTTTTGAAAGAGATAAATGTAGTGCATACACTTTAAAATAACATATTTGAAGTTAAGTTGTTATTATAAGACTTTATAATATTTCATAACTTCAATTTGATAATTATTTAGATGTTCTTTGATTAACCTGGATATCCAACTCGTTATACGAGCCGACTAATCCTAGAACGACCACCTGCTTTCCAGATAGCTCGGAGTCATCGTATTTGAAATAACAAAAATTGCAAAACTATTGTTATATTGATTTTTGTTTTAGTAATACTCAAAAATAACAATAACCGATAATCGATTTTCTCTTGAATGTATTTTTCAATTTACAAAAACCATTAAAACTTTGAGAATGATTTTATATATAAAAAAACAACAACAAACTGACAATGATTCCAATATCTCTTGTCACACAGATAAGACCATGATTCCATCAAATAAAACAATAATATAATCCTCAAGAAACAGATACTTCCAAGATCTGTTGTCATGTTTCATTTTGGAAAACCTGGATATTGATTCTTCTTGTCTTTAAAAACCATCCCTACCCACACCCTTAAGAAGGAACTCATCAACAATGTCCATAGAGGAAGACTCAGATTTTCTTGCCACCCGAAGGTACTTGAATCGTATTTATGTGTTTTCCTTTTTGCTCAACACATTCGAATCAACATCCACAAAGAATCTTTATCATTTGGGTCCTTAAAAATAATATGATACTGTTATTGTTTTGACATTAATTAATTGGTTTTTGGTTTTTGTCTTGAAGGTATGCAATTGTTACAGGGTCGAACAAGGGAATAGGGTTAGAAGTATGCAGACAATTGGCTTCCAAAGGGGTTCTAGTTGTGTTAACTGCTAGAGACGAGAAGAAAGGCAAAGAGGCAGTGAAAACTCTTAAAGATTGCAACTTTTTCCAACATGAGAATTTGGTTTTTCATCAACTTGATGTATTGGATCCATATAGTATCTCTTCTCTTGTTGACTTTGTGAAAACCAAATATAGGAAGCTTGACATATTGGTATGCTTTGTTTTCTTCATATATATATATAGTATATCTCTATTAGGTATCTTTTATGCTGACTTAATATCTTTGATAGGTGAATAACGCTGGGGTGTTGGGATTGAGTGTAAACATGGAGGCATTAGAAGCCTCAACAAATGGCGACGTGAGAAGTTAGATATTCGAATATTCATTCCAATTTTGAACTCCTTCAAATGAATATGTTGAAATATGACAATCCCATAATCCCTTTCGGGTCATAACTCTTCTAAATACCGAGCCTTCGAATATCATATCCTAACACTTTGATTTTTACAGGATTCAAGATTTATCAAATGGGAAGACGTTTCAACACAACCATACGATTTAGGAGAAGAATGCATTCAAACGAATTACTATGGAGCAAAGAGGATGATTGAAGCTTTCACGCCTCTTCTTTCTTTGTCCGACTCTCCAAGAATCGTCAATGTTTCATCAAGTTCAGGAAAATTGAAGGTTTTGATGATGATTCAGACTTCATCATTCAAACCAATAACTTTAAACATTTGAAAACACACATTCCAACCAACTTATGATCATTCTTCATTGTTTTGCAGTTCGTAATCAATGAATGGGCTCGTAACATCTTGAGCGATGCTAAAGCTCTAAGCGAAAAAAGAATCGGCGAGATTCTTGAAGTTTTTCTTAGAGATTTGAAAGAGAATTCTTTAGAAGCAAATAATTGGCCTTCATTTTTATCTGCATACACATTATCAAAAGCAGCCATGAATGGCTACACAAGACTGATAGCGAAGAAGAATCCAAGTTTTATGATAAACTGTATTTGTCCTGGGTATGTGAAAACAGATCTAAATCACTTCTTAGGACACTTGAATGTTGAAGAGGGTGCACATAGTGTCGTGAGGCTGGTGTTACTCCCCACAGGTGGGCTAAGGCATTCTGGTGTTTTCTTTTATAGAGAGGAAATATCTTCTTTTTAATGAAAGTAGCAGTTCATATACTTGGAGTTGCTTGCCATTTTATGTAGTTTGTATAAAATGTCAATTCTTGTACAATTGAATCTATTTCTAAAATGAAAAGAGGTGAGATTTTTGTTAGTGAATACCCAAAAACCAAGCATATGATAATTGTAATTTTGAGTTTTGTTTCATGAAATTAATAAATAAATAAAAGGCATTGATCATTTTTTTTATTTTTATATTGTATTCTGTGTTTTAATTATTCATAATAAATAACCTTACAATAATGTATTCTAAATGTCTTTAGTTAAATATTACTTTGAGTTTAAGGTTGAAGTAATATGATAATAACTAGCATGTATAGGAATTCATATAGAGATAATGATTATTGTCCTTTTGTAACAAAAAGTTACATAGACAACGCAAAAAATGAATCACTCTATATATCGAAAACACGTAGCCTTATCGGGTGAACTTGTGCATTCTCAGGGTTTGAAAAACGAATGGACGAAAGGAATATTGAGCGATGTTGAAAACCTAACATAAGAGAAATTTGATGAAGTACTTGAGGAGTATTTGACTGATTTAAAAGAGGGATTACTAGAAGCCAAAGGGTGGCCTACAACGTTATCGGCATATACCCTTTCAAAAACAGACATGAATGCTTACACAAGGATCTTGGCCAAGAAATACACAAGTTATTGCATAAATTGCAGAAATAGTACTTCAAGATCCATTCCGTGTACAAGACCTTTTCTTTGTGCATCCAGTAGAAATTGAACCTACGAATTTTGTGTCCAGGCTTTGTTAAAACGGATATCAACTATAATACCGATTTATTATGTGTCACAGATGGTGCAGAAACACCGGGTAAGATAGCATTGTTCCCTCACGGTGGTCCTTCCAGGTGTTTCTTCAATAGAAATGGCATAACATCTTTCGAATGAATGCACGGAGGTGGAAAAGGTAACCCTAGATAGATAGATACGCTCTAGTGTATTTCTAAGTTTTTATAGAAGCATGCTTGTTTAAACTATATCATGGGTGGGTCAGATAAAGATCATTATGCTGTAAAGAAGTTAAAAGGTCGTGTTTCAAACTCAAAACTCATTTATCCAAAGGAACCGGATACATACCCAAGGTTTGAACATTGTGTTTTTTTATTCAACGGCTGTTCAATTAAACGACCTTCTAGTAAAGTCACTTTTATAAACTAATCTTTTAAATGTTCTTTTTACAGGAACACGATCTACATCAGGGAAAATAATTTGAAGGTTGTTGAACTTAAAAAAATTAAAAGGTGTCTTTCAGTATGTTTTTTATGCATTTATGGCAATGGCAACACTTATGGTATTCGTAAATAAAGTTTTATCACAACTGGATTGATTAAGATCTAGTAAAGGCCGAAATCTAGAACCGTGCCATAAATCGATCTTGATTAAGCCCGAGGTCGTAACTGGTTGTTTTTTTTTCTAATTTTCAGCTATTTTCTTATGTATTATAAACACCTGGTATATTTTTTATCATTAACACCAATATGTTGAATTATTGTTAAAGTCAATATGTTATATAATTGTTAACAGAGATGGTTAATAATTAACTTGTTAATACAAATTACTGGAAACATTTCTTTTACCAAAAGTACAATTTAAAAGACTATTAAACTAAATTATAAAATATTATTAACCACAAAGTCAAAAGTACAATTTAAAAGACTATTAAACTAAATTATAAAATATTATTAACCACAAAGTCAAAAGTACCAGAAGGTCTCAGGTTCAAATTCAAGGAGGAGTAAAAATCCCCTTGTGGCTAAGGTCCAAATGCGGTGATACTCGGCTATCTACAAAGCAGGTGGTCGTTCTGTGATTAGTCGGCTCGCATAACGTGTTGGATATTCAGGTTAATAAAAAAAAAAAATATATTATCTTAAACAAAGTTTATCGTCGTATAAATATGACTATATTTCATAAAAAGGGTAGAATGACTAAAATAACCCCTGAAATTAACAGGGTTAACGGCTTTTGGACTTAATTACCTCAAAAGTGTAAAAATGCAAATCAACTTTTTTCACTAAACCACAAGGACGAAATTTGTAATTTACTAAAAGTTCATTTATAAAAAATTGGTCATATACTAAAATCTAAAAAAATGGTAATTAAGAGGCCGTTCACCTAAACACTTAGTCGGTAAGCACTTATCGGTAAAATTCAACACAATTGTTTACTTACAGGGTAAGATTTTATTCACTAAAACGCATTGTATGCAACAATTTATCCCGGTAAGCGCTAACCATGGTAAAAATCCTCATCCTCACTTATCGGGTAAGACTCTCGATTTTTGTCTTCGCTCTTACCGGGTAAGATTTTTAGTCTTTGTCATATTCATCCGGTAAAGTAAAGTGACTTAGTAAGTGCTTACTAAGCGTTTGGTAAACGACACCTAATACAACTTTTAAAAAAAGTGAAAGATAACAATCAATTAAACAAACAAATACAATGGAAAAGGAAGTGATCGGGCGATGACAACCAGGAGGTGGGCGACAACCCCCACCTCCATAGCCACAACATGGAGGAACAACTCCTTAATCAATGGTTCAAACTTCACCAAATATTAAATCTTAACCCTGGTCTATAAACCTAATAGGCTAAAAGTCAAACAATATGGTCTTCAAATATTTAGCTTAACCCCTAAATTTTTTAAAAAATAAACAAAATAATTATTAAAACAAACAAGATATAGCATAATGTTAAAATGTTAATCTAACCTTACAACCTCACCAAAGGGTCATTGACAACATTACTCAGGTTACCGAAAAAGCTCGGGTGGTTAGAACCATGGAGGTCAAGGGTTCAAACCTCACCGAATGCGATGAGTGTGCATGAGCATTTGCCGTATATAAATACTGCTACAACTGCAAATACAAACTCAAGTCTCTTTGCGTATGGGTGAATAGGAGAGGTTAACCGATGCTGCAAACTGGCATATGTCGGTTCTCTTCCCTTGTTTTGTACTCCTCAAAATCGAAACCTGCAAAAGTTTTCGTCAAGTAATTTATTAAAACATCAGATGATAATGATATAACTGATATGAGTGTGAAGTATAAGTATTTGGTTGATAAATCTTTTGATTCGAGTATGTAACTAAAAATATGTGAAAGTACGGTAACGCCCTCATCAATTTACCCGATATTTAAAGTTTCGTACCTTTGGCTGTTCCATGGAGTTGCTGAAAAAACCTATTCCAAAAGACAAGGTAGTGAAGCCAGCAGCAATCTCAACAGCTTTCAGCTGTGGTGATGATCCAGGACCCTGATTAAATAAATTCGAAATCATCCTTTAAGCTTCAAATATCGAACCGTTAGTTGTAAAAATTTAATGGTGAATTCGATCATGTACTCACCAACGAAGGAGCATCGGCTTGCACAAGCAAAATTCCGGCACTTTTATCACTACCATTTCGATTACTATCTTCAATTACGGACTGTAGAACTTTTGAGCAGGCGGCTCCTGGACCATCCTGTGATCTGAAATGAGAGTTTACACGATAATATGGTACGCGGATTTGATTCTAGCATATGACCTCCATTTCATATAAAATAGGGAAAATTGCATGAAATACTTTCAAAACCTTCATTTTGATACCTCAGATGTGACATCTCAAACATTTGGGTACCTGGTTTACATCTTAACATACGACTCCTATTTTGTGCAACAAATTTTGGTCTAGATGGTTGAGATTCACATCTGAGATGCCAAAATGAGGTTTGAAAGTACGTTATACAAATACGAGTCGTACCAAATTACATTGCATTTTCATGTAATTTTCCCTATAAAAAAGACCACGTTGGATGTCTAACCCGATACCAGTGCACTGTGCTCCCGTTCACATTTTGACAATTTTCATTATATCTTGTTATAATATATCTAATGTGGTTATCAGTTTTCTGGCATAAAGTTCACAATGTCTGCAATTTAAAGTTGAAAACTAGTTTGTTTTATTTGAAGTCGGTCAATATGTATATCTTCTATCCAAACTAGAAGTAAACTCGGAATTTGTTTAACACAAGTTTCAGAAAATTGGTTATGGCAGGTGATCCTAATCTTTAAGAAATAGAACATATAATGCTGAAAAGAGTACAACTAGCAAGAATATGAGATTGCTGTTTTACTAAAGAAACTAATATCTGGAAGATGAAAGTGTAACTGTGTAAATCATACAGTGATGGAGATGTGCAACATTCCTGAGCAGCAAAACCTTTCATTAGGCATTCTCCAGCACCGCTAACACAACAACCAACTATTGAAGGAGCACCAAATGGACCTTTTGAAGACGCCCAACAACCACAACCATATGTTGCTGCTAATCCCACACGCCCACTGACCTAATTTAAAATTGATGAAAAAGTTGTCAACATATAAATGGGATAGATATCAGCATACAAATAAATGTGAAAAGATCGGAGGAGTTAGAGGAAGGGGGTTAACTCGTAAGGTTAGTGAGCCGGTGAGTCTCGGGTTAGATGAGGGGTGTGTACGTTATTCCTATGATGGTTAGGTTCTCTTGTACCTCATTCTGTTTGTTGTTTGCCTGTCTATGTGTGTGTTGTTGCTTACTCACAACACATTTTCACATTTTAGCACCGTCTTTCTTATTTTCAAGTTGTTCTTATGTTCTTTCTCAGCATTTTTACGAACAAGTTTTATCTTTTCTTTTCGCACGTTTTGCACAAGCAGGGGTCTTCACAAACCGCTCTACTATTTGAGGTAGATGTCAAGTCTACGTACATCCCATGGACCCCGCCTCCGGGTGGGATATACTGGGATTGTTTAGTTTGGTTATATAAATAAATAGACATATGAAGCAAAATAAGGATTTTGCATCCTGGCAGTGAGAACAATGGATGACTAGGTTGTGTGGACATTGGGGAATTGCAAACTATTACCTTTAATGCGATGCCACCACTAGAAGCTCCGGATGCTATATTTCCTTCCTTATCAATACATATAACTCCTACAGTATCCATGATGCTGTCTTCATCCGGTGCAGGTCGAATAGCATCCTTACTACCAGCCACACTTTGATTTGAATTGTCTGATTGTGGTTCAAACATAAAATCATTAAAACCTTAATTCGACAACATGTACCGAACTTCAATAATAGTATTGAAATTTTGAAATACAGCCGACAGGTGAAATAACCAATTGACTACTTTTTTATTCATCAAGATATGTTCAGAAATAATCTATTGACCATTTTCTTGAGTTCAGTATATTCAACAAGCTCTCGCGGTTCTTAATACACAACATAACTAGAGTGTAGAGCCCAACATCAGTTCAATTTTGCGTCTAATGCCCATCAACTTGAACCATAAAGAAGCCATAGAAGATGAAATTATAAGAGTATGTTGGTTGCCATGTAACTTATCCGCTGTCCAAAGCTGATTCCTTCAAATTAAGAGTCACTTTTACTTGTGATCTACCTCTTTAAAGCATGCCGGTTTCAATTTCGAAACTTTAACTAGTTCGGATGAAGACTTTGGTTCAATTGAGATGATTTAAATTAAGATACTTGAAAAAGAAGTATCTTTGACTATGCATACCTGATGCATTATCAATCTGTTGAGGACTAGATGATGATTCTGCCGAAGAAATTCTAGCTTTGGCATCATCAAGCATCGCCTTATAAGTTCTCCATTGTTCTCTTGCCTTTGTTGTCACAAGCCACTATCCCCAGAGGATGCACCAGAGTTTAGTGCATAAGCAGAAATAATTGTGATCACAGATATTTAGGCCATCGAATGTAAAGAAGAAAAACTAAAACTGGGAACCCTAGAAAAATTTATTATATTATCAAATGGAGCCTGGGCGAGGCTACCTCATTGGCCTCTTCAATGGATTCGAAGAAATTAACTCCCTTGGACTTTGCCCAAGTACGTGCACCTTCACCAGCCAAAAACCTGAATGAATATTAAAAAAAGAAAAAAAAGAACTGCTTTAAGTAAAATGTGCCTATGTATGAAATAGATGTTCAGTTTTTTTACACACAATCGCAGAGATAATGGAATTCAGTTTTATACCCACAAAAAGAAGTTGGATTTCACTGTCTACCAAATATTGCATATATCGATGATTTTGAAACTTTGTCATACAAGTAACCAGATCATGAGCTTGTATAGAGGAGGGATGCAAAGCAGTACAAAATGGCTAAAACAACTCAAAATGCCTCTTTGTTCAAATATAAGTAGTAAGCATACAAACTAATTGAACCTGAAACCATTTCAAGATGCTCCTTTTCCAACAATGCATTTGCAACATTAGGCAAGCACAACACAGCTGTTTTCTACAGCTTTTGGCATAAATTTGGAAGGCCAAAACATGGAGAAATACTCATGCCAGCAAACATAATCAATAAAAAGAACATAAACTATAAATTCCATGAAACAGTCAGTAGGGGGGGCCAAGATGAAAGTGTCCATAGGTTCTCCTCCCCAAGAATCTTAGCTTCCCTCCCTCCGAATAAGTGTCAATAAGATATTATACACCGCCTCCATCTCAAACAGAGTGCAGTTTCCATTTTGGGTTGTCCCAAAAAGAAATGCAACATTACCTTTGCTTAGTAAGATTTCAAGTATTACAAGATATTGATTTTGGTCTACAAGTTTTCTCAATTTTGTCTTATCAAGAGGAATTTCAGATATTTGATCATTAGCCAGATGCTCTCATTGAACTACATGCCAAGTCAAACAGGGGTGTTCAAGAAAATCGAACCCAAAACACCACACTGATTTTTTAATTAAGCTAGCCAAGTTATTAATCATAACCTAGTTAGCCAAATTGGAAAATATGGCATTTCAGTTCGGTTTAGGTTCACGATTTTTGAGTCGGACTTAACAGAAAAAACAAAATATTGAAACATTTTAGGCCCAATAGCATAGACAACTAAAACAGGTTTTGAGGACAGAGTTAGGGTAGCGCCTATCACGGGCAAAATGAGAGGGAAGATTACGGTGTTTTGGGCACGTTAAGAGGGGCAAATGATGGCTCCAATGAGGAGGGTGGAGAGCATAACAGTTGAGGGGGCGAGGAGGAGGGGCAGGCCGAGGAGGACGTGGATGAGCAGCTGAGAATGGATATGGTGACTTTAGACCTTTCCGGGGACATGATCTCTGATAGTTCTTGTAAACATAGGACTAGGGTAGTAGATTTTTATAGGGATGTAGTTGGTGGGAGGGGTATGACTAGGGTAGCAAATATCTATAGGGACAAGTGGTGAGGGACATGACTATGATGGCAGATTTTTTATAGGGATTAGTAGTTGAGCGGCGGGGTAGGACTAGGGTAGCAGGTTTCTATAAGGACTACCTGTTGTGGGGAGGGGTAAGACTACGGTAGCATATTTTTATAGGGAGTAGTAGTTGTTCGAAGGCGTAGATCCAGGGTGACAGTTTTGCGAAGTTTGGTGTTTTAGTTTTTTCCTTGTATATGGTCTTGCTGCTGTTACCGTCTACTGTCCTTGTTGCCTATTTGGACGCGCTCTTTTCCTAGTATTTTTCTCCTGTGTCTTGTGCTCTCAGTGTCTTCACAAAATCCTCACAACCTTCAAAAGATCTTTTTGACAAATCTTGCCTCTTCAAAACCTTTTCGCACATGGAGGGCCTTCACGGAAACAACACTACCACTTGGGGTAGATAAAATGTCTCCGTACATCTTAGCTTACTTACTTTCGAGCGTGATACATAGGGTATATTTGCTTTGGTTTGGTTTATCATAGCCAACTAGCCCAGTAGAAGAGCTTGATCTTTTAGGCCGATTAGCAATGCGGCCAAAGCCCACTAGTCCACTACACAATTAGCTAGAGATTTATTGTTTCTGCGGTCAAATTAACGCAAAATTGCAAATTACTCAAAACAATATTATGCTTTTTGTGTTCTTCTGTTGGTAACTGCTGAGTATCAATCGCCGAATAGTCACTTGCGGCATTGCTAGTTGCTACTTTGCATACACGATGTTATTTTAAGACCAACTTTCTTTACCCCACCCCCAGCTTGAAGTAATTTTCCCTCCCTAAACATCTTATTGGTACTTTGCTAGACTATTAGCAATCCAACGAATGTCTTGTAATTTTCTCCTTAGCTCCCTCATTTATGGACTTCTGAATTTTGCTTGGTGAGTCGGCATGGAGGTTACAATTGGAATTTGGACATGTACTCATTTATTAAAAGCAGTTAATAGGTTTAACCAGATAATCGGACCAAAAAATGAATTATCAGTTAATATGTTTTTCCAATTTAGGTCCGGTTCAAGAAAATGTCAAAACTGATTTATTTGGTTAACATGAAGACCTTCATTTATGGTTAGGTTAACCTACCATGAATTGTCAAGCATTACAATTTATTGGGACATGGGGAGTATGCAATTAAGAAACAAATACATTACCAGGCAGTCAGGCACTATTATAACCATTTAAAACACTATATTAGTCAATATGAAATAGATCAGGTCTCAATCTTATAAGAAATAAACACTCCTTTTTGTCCCGCATTTTTTATATGTACCTCACAATTTTTGGGGCCTTACCATGTTTGGCTTCTATTGCATCAAGAAATAGGATACTACCTTACACAAATACACTACAAATTCAACAGATAAGATTTCACGAGGGAAGCATCGGCAAATGATGTGAACTAGAATATATGGTTTTGATAAAAGAGAAAGAGAAAACAGGAAGCAGTTAATAGTATGCACTCAATTCTGCATTCACCCTCAGTCCTATAAAAGAGATTTAAAAAAACTACAACAGGTGGGTAATGACACAATAAAGAAATTAGCTTATCTTGTATAGCTTAAAGGAAAAAGTGCAATGTAAGTTTACATGGGAGGAATTCGACCCAGCAGAGATGAACCCAACATCTGCTCCTTGACCAGCATAGCCGCAATCTTAATAGCATTTTTTACACCTGGTAATCATTTGCTTCAAAGAAAGGTAGATAACTTATGAGAAGAAAGGTAGATAATTTATGAGAAGAAAGGCCCCAGTAAAAGCAAACCAAAGAAATAGAGGAAATGGAAGTCTTCAGAAAGACATCCATAAACCCTTCTATGGATATACCTGGCACTGCTCCAATAGCCCCAAATACTCCAGATTTGCCATCCATGACACTTGCATCACATTCAACATGACCATCCTCTGTCAAATTTGATCCTTTCCCAGCGTTTGTGCATGGATCATTCTGCAGCTCAACAATCAAGATATGAGTTTTACAGGATTTCAAAGATTGTTGCAACACAAACAAAACCATTGTAAAGTTTCAAATGAGATAGAAAGATCAAGTTAAAACTGTTTATCTATGAATGAGCTATAAGTATCAATAAAACACTATTCACACTAACCCATGAGAGTCTGTAAGAGAATTCTGCATAATTCTATAGAGTGCGAGTATCTACTAGCATCTACAATACTACTTTTTCAATGTTGGCACTTCTGTTATGTAAATGAGCTTATATTCGCTTTTCCTCTGTTTCCTTCCCTCTTACATAACATCATAAGCAGACAGAATCACTGGAGAGGATGATGGAATCTGGAAATAGTAAAATAGAAATTTGATGATTTAAAAATAGAAATTAATGAGCTATTCACAAACTATTGAATGCACACACATACAACTAAAACAGATGCAGAAACCACATAATTCAGCTAGAAAGAAGAAGACTGATCATATAGATACGCAAACTCTAGAAAGAATCAACCCCCCACCCCTAAGTACGAACTGAACCAGACATTCAAATACACATTCTGAAAAGGCGAAAACAGCCATACCTCCAAGGTCTCAATGGCTGCTGACACAGCATCGACACATCTGCCAGAGCCCTATAACACAGCAAACGTACAGAAATCATAAACAGATACTCAGCTGGAAAATCATCTTTAAAATAGAGTTATCTGCAGCTGCTTCAACCATTCTAGGTAACCATCAAATCATCAAGTCTAATTCTCTCTTCCATCAAGTAATAAGCTTGATGATCACATATACTCTCTTCCTTCCATAAACAAGTGTGATTGGTCATACCTAATACTCTTCAGAACCAAAAATGACCAAATTCATTGTAAACCTAGAAAAATTATTACAATAGTCATAGAGGCTAATCAAGTCAGAACTCATCCTCGAAAAACTTAAAACCATATGAATTTTAAAATTGAAAAATAACTATAAATTCATAACTCGGCAGCTATAATTCGTGAATAAACCCCACTAAATACTAATAAAGCCTACATATCAACAAGAAAATCAAGCAGATGCAAAAAATATAGATAGTCTATCTCGAGATATGTACATAGAGAGAGAAAGAGAGAGGAGAGAGAGAGAGAGAGAGAGAGGAGAGAGACCGTTCGGAGAACAGATGCAGCGGCGAGGCAGGCAGTTTTCATAGCAGATCGGAGAGCCTTCTCGTTAATCGGAGAGTGGTAACCAGCGCCGACGTGGACGGCTACGAAGAATCTCCGGTTGATATGATAAGAGACTTCACCGCCCATCAGTTTTCCGGTTAGAAAGTATGTCCGTGGTCGTGAAATGGACTCCGATGATAGGAAACTACATGAACGACAAGTGTTCGTTTTGCCCCCTCATTATCTCAATATCTACCAATACCGCCCCTAAATATAAGTATTGACTATTTCAGGACATTACTTTTAATTTTTGCAAATTCGACACCTAAAGATAAACCATGTAACATGTTGTCTCTAACTCTCTATTCATTTACCTTTTTTAAATTCAATAAATTGCATTAAATAAAATCAACTTTTTTTCATATTTGGAAAACCTAAGATTGAGGGGCCGTTTACCAAACACTTACCTACTAAGTGCTTACCGGTAAAATTTACTACTATTATTTACTTACCGGATAAGATTTTAGTTCACCAAAACGACATCGTATGCAACAATTTACCCAGTAAGCGACCGTAGTAAGAGTCGTCACCCTCATATACCGGGTAAGACTTTTGGTATTTGTCTCGCTCTTATCGTGTAAGATTCTTGGTCTTTACTATCTTCATTCGGTGAGGTAATGTGACTTGGTAAGGACTTATCTGGGTAAGCATTTGGTAAACGGTCTTTCGGCCTTCTATTTTTGAAAAACTTCTCCTTTTAGGACCAAATTTTAAAACTTTTTTATTTTTAATAATCAAAATATAACCAAATTTACTTCAGTGTAACTTATCTTTTTAAAAAACACCCAATGCAATGATCCCTTAAATGATTATTTGTAGTGGTGGTCCTTCACTTTTCATTTTTATAACACCTATAATTATCGAGTTAACACTGTTAAATAAGGTCCGTTAAGTTAAGACATGTAACTTTTACATGAGAGCAAGTTAGTCATTTTACCTCTCTTTTTTTTAAAACACTTAATATTAAATCTTATATATAAATTTAAATCTTGACGAAATTAAACAGATGTTAACTTAAGGGGCCATCAGCGTTATGCAAAATTATTCGAATGCCTGTACATAAAACAAAACATGTGATTCTTGATTTATCATAGAACGGGTCAAAATTTCAAAAACCAACCTCATTTTGCTCCGTTAATATCGGATTATTTGGGTCAAAATTAGAAGGATCTCCAATCAGGTGTCGTTATTTCATCGATTCAATCCAAATATGGTCTCTAAATCGTTGCAGAAGAATAGAATAGAAAATTAAGATGAAATATATTGTGAATGCAAACTAGCAACTTTTTTTTCCTTTAATTCTCAATTTGAAAACCCACTTTTGTTGGGTACTTTTTTTCTCTTGTTAACATTTATATATATACATTTTTATTTCTTAAAAATTGAGAACAAAATAAGAAGGAAAAAACGATGTCTTTCACAGGAACCTTGGATAAATGCAAAGCTTGTGATAAGACTGTTTATTTTGTTGATTTGTTAACTGCTGATGGCGTTACTTATCATAAAGCGTGCTTCAGATGCACCCATTGCAAAGGCACTCTTTCGGTTTGTTTCTTTAATCGTCTTTGTCTCCGTTTTTTTTTTCCGTTTCGATACTCGTTCTACGTTTGATGTTTTCGGTTTTCCGCATTTTTCCCTCGAAAAAACGTTTGATTTCGGTACCACGGAAATCCGGGATCATGTCGGAAGTCCATTTTGGGTGAGAAATGTTAATAAATGATCCAAAAATGACATTTTTAGATTTGTTGACTATCAAAAGTCAAACTTGATGTTTTCAAGATCCAAATTGGACACCTGTTGATTTGATAGTTTTGGTATACAAAACTTCCCAAGTAGTAATTTTCATGCTATTAATCTTTGTTGCCAAAATCTTGTAAAAAAGACAAAAAATTCATGTCCATTTTTATGTCAAAAAACAATCTATTTTGACCATCAAAAGTCAACCATCAACTTTTTGATGAATTATTTAAGAGTGATATCTAACATAGATTCAATTGCAGATGAGCAACTACTCCTCCATGGATGGAGTCCTTTACTGCAAGCCTCATTTTGAACAACTCTTCAAGGAATCTGGTAATTTCAGCAAGAATTTCCATCAAACATGTAAGATTTCTCAAACTATATAATATATATATATATATATATATATATATATATATACATGGGTTGGTTCAAATAAGAAGGCTAAATATCGTGAGAAGGTAAGAAAGGAACATTCATATGTGAAACAATAGAAAAAATTCAGCTGAATAGTGAGATGCATATGTGAATCCATAAGAATAATCTATAATGGTTGTCCACGTATGCATCTTCAAATGAATTTTTCCAGATTTTTTAATGATTTGCCGATTCGCATATGAACCTCTCTTTCTTATGATGTTTAGCCTTTTCTTATTTGAGTCTTCCACTACATACATATATACATATACATACGTATATGTATATGTGTTTGGAAGTTGTGTTATTTGTATTCGTTTAATTGTATTCCGAGTGTCTTTTTCAAGTTTGTATCTCGTTTTTGCAGCAAAACCAGATAAAGAAAGCGGGGTACGTTGATCACATAATTTTGTTAGTTTTCTTTCGAAAAATAGATTTAGGGGTTGTTTACCTAAATGTTTACCCGGCAAGCGCTTACCATTAGGAGTCAACACTATAACTTATTTTATTGGGTAAGGTTGTAGTACATCAAAACGTATTACATGCAACAGTTTCCTTGGTAAGCGCTTACCCGGGTAAGAGTCATCACCCTCACTTACCGGGTAAGACTCTTGGCCTTGCCATGTTCATCCGGTAAGAAAAATTACCCGGTAAGTACTTACCGGATAAGCGTTTAGTAAACGACCCCTTAATTCTTCTACCATATATCTTATTATGATTAAATTGAATATTTGGAAAATTGCAGTCAAAAGCTCCAAGCAAACTCTCATCTATGTTCTCTGGTACCCAAGACAAATGTAGACAATGTAACAAGACTGTTTACCCCCTCGAAAAGGTTCGTACTTATTCTCTGTTTACTGTTAAAGTCCCACATCAGCCAAATGTTGATAATTTGCCTTCAATAAACGCTGAAACCTCCATTCTCTACTTAATAGCTCTTTTGGAGAATAATCTATTAGGTTTTACATATTTTGATATGGTATCAATCGTAAAAGTCAATTACAAAGGTGGTGCTTGATTGGTTTGATCTAGGCTCCAAAGGTCAAAAGTACCTGGAGGTCTCAGGTTAAAATCCAAAGAGGAATAAAAATCCCCTTGTGGCCACGGAGGTTCAAATGTGATGACTCCGGGCTATAAGGTGGTCGCCATGGAATTAGTTGGCACGCATAGCGGGTTGGATATCCAGGTTAATAAAAAAAAAAAAGTCAATGTCTACCACTCTAGCCTCAGTCAGTCTCGGAAAATATATGCTCTGTTGGAGGGTGTCGTAAAGTTCCTCCAATAAAAATTATAGCACAAAATAAGTAAAAGACGGATTTACCCCTCTTGAGTCCCATGTCTATTAGAGATAGAGAGTGATCCAAATGGGTTTCTTACGTCTACCACATCCATGGACTCAACACGCTATTTCACCTCCGTTTGAGGGGCGTGTTGGTCATTTAGATACGGACCATCAAACCTGTGTATCCTAACTACGCCTTATTCCTAATCGTAAATGAAATGTTTTTTGGAGCATATTTATAGGTGACGATGGAAGGTGAACCGTACCACAAATCATGCTTCAAATGTGCCCATGGAGGCTGCCCTCTTACACACTCATCATATGCTGCCCTAGATGGTGTTCTTTACTGCAAGCATCATTTTGCTCAACTCTTCATGGAGAAAGGAAATTACACTCATGTCCTCGAGGCTGCAAATAGAAAGAGCAACGCGAAGCCCGAGGATGCACCCGAGACCGCTGGGGATCCGGAGGAAGGAGGAGGAGGAGGAGGAGACGAAGGAGCGGAGGATGACGGCCACCCCGAACCACCGCCGGAGGAGGAGAAACCACCAGAAGAGGACTAGTCCTAAACATATATACATACATTCAAATACTTGATACATACACATACATACATACATGACATGCCTTGGTTTCTTTGTTAATGTAATTTTTTTTCAAGACCCCTTTTTTTTTTGTTGACCATTGAAATTATCAGTATTCAATGGTTTGACTTTGGAAATTACTTTTTTTTATATTTTAAGTTGATGATTTATAATATGTAACCTTCTAAGATTCAAATATAAAAATCAAGGAATTATCTTGAGGATATGTGTATTATATATGTATATTCAAATATTATAACGAGTCGATGTATAACAGGGACGTTCCAATCTTTTTTGGAGGTTATGTTATATCCAAAACTTTTGATTACATTGCATAAATTGGATGACAGATGGTATATGTTAAGAATAAAAATGGGTTAAACCTATAAACGATTAACAATCTGAAACTAAACCTAAACCATTACTGATTTGAACCTAAAACCAATAAGTAATGGTTTGAACCTAAATAATTTCGGCTATAGTTTTACGTAGGTCGATAAAAAGATGTTAAACACATGTAAATTTGGGCCCCAAAATTTCGGAGTCCCTGTTTAAAATCTTACATTTAACATGCTAATGGACGGCTCTGTGCATAAAACCTCTATAACAGATTTTATATGTACGTGTATGATGTTGAGTTTGATTCCCGCAATACAATTGAAGTTTAAATCATTTTGAACCGACGAGGTATATATCTATACTACTATATCATAAAGCATTTGACAAAAACTTTTAAAAACTATTTTTTATGCATGAAGTACTGTATATTGATGCATCTTACTTAAAATTCAAGATTACAAGTAAATTATGCATAAGTACAACTTATTAAAGCTCCATGTTTGAATTCGTTTAACTAATTGCGGATAAACATAATTGAATGGTGGATAAACATCACATTTTAAAATATAAAATCTAATATATAATTAGGATAATTATCGAGTTCTAACAAAATGATTAATTATTATTTTTATAAGAAAATAATATTATTAAACCAAATATAAATTACTTTGTTATTGAACCTAAACTAAATTATAATAAATAAATTGAATTAAAAAGTTACACAAAAAATAAGAAATTTTAAATAGTTAATTTGATATTAATATCGATATATTTTTGTCAAAATTTTATAATATCTTCAAATTTATATTTTATTGAAAAATAAAAACATCATCGTTTTTTCAAAATCACATAAGACCGTATTATAACATCAACTGAAATAAAAAATAAAATAAGTACCCTTCTAATACATATAAATGTATCTATTTGATAACGGGTTCAAGTAAAAACAGATAAATTATTAACATGAGTTAATAGAAATTAAGTTAACTCCCCAAACATTCTTTTGTCATTTCATATAATTTGATAAAGAACCAAAATGGCAATATATTCTTATATTATTGCAAAAACTATTATTAAGACAATGATATGAGGTTTTTTTTTTTTTTAATATTGAATACATAATTGAACGACCTTTAAATTGTTTGACTGCTTTTTTAGCTGGTCTTTTTAACTTTATATGTTAAACATGTTAGCAATAAAATGACCCAAGTGGCTTTTTTTACACATATGGGTCGAAATTGAACTCTTTATACGTATGTAAAAACGATCCTGGTAGCTAGAATGTCACAAGCCAATTAAGACCGAGTACAACAAGATTCGTCATTATTTCAAGTTCTTATTTTTCCAAAATTCATCTTCCCACATTTCCACTTGTTTTATCGTTCTTGTTCTGTTGTCTATAATAGCTTTAAGAGCCGAGGGATCGTAGGGTGGAGGCATATTACATGGGGTCGTATCTGTAGGGTACTCCACAAGCGAATCCACCATGAACTTCCTCCATTTTCCATCCGCAAGGCATGCCATCGACTCTGAACATAGCTCTACTGCATTTGGAGGGATGGTAGGTTTGAACTTCAAGAGCTTGGCGTATTTGGTCAGTAGATGTAACATGTAGTCATAAACGTATTCCATCTTCACATATTCTTGAATGAACCGGCTTGATGCGTCGCCAATCTCTTGTGCCTAGTGGGGGTTCATGAAATCAACGCATAGTTAAAAGAAGGCTATTGTAAATTAAGGTAATCTTTGACAACTATAAGCTAGCTTATTTTCATGTTTATTAGAAAGTCGTGCTTGTTAAGGCATAAACTAACTTTTTGAAAAGCTATCTCAGATGGCTTATTGAACTTTTTTTTACTTTTTTCGTAATTATACTCCCCATATTCCCTTTTTATGTCGTTTTACATCGTCAGATAATATATAAGGTATTTTTTTTTATCAAATATGACTAATTTATCAGCTAGTTTGTCAAACTTTGATCAGATATGTATAGGTTGTAGTACGAAAGGGCCCTACTCCATTTTTATTTTGGTGGAAAAGAGAAAACTACCCTTAACAAAAATTACACATTCTTGAGATCAAAAATACGTCTAGAATGTAATTTACCTTGGAAGTGTGATTGTTGCCCCACTCGACGGCAAATTTAAGAGATTTACATTTGTCGGTTTCTCGAATAGGCCAAAAATGCTCGAGTGGTGACATCCCTCTTATGAAGAAAGTGTAGAAATGTGGGGTTATATATAACGTTGGCGAATCACACGCCAATATGTATTTCTCACTCACCGACCATGCCCATCCTTCTACGTATATCTTATACCTGTAAGTACATTGGTCTTCAACATTCGAATTCTTATATCTTTGTGCTGATTCATTTTCCCAGTTCTGTTACATCAAATTACCATTTATTAAACCAATCAAAATAATATATTAGAAAATTGCAACTCATTTTAAGTAAGGTTCAAAATTCGAAAACATTGTATCGTATACAATGTACAATTACCTGAGAAAATAAACGGGTAGCCCAGTCAACATGAGGAGTGTGGTTACATTTGAGAAGGTCGGCCCTAACGGGGGCCACATTAGGGTTACCCTTCCAATATGCGTAGGGTACCCTCTCCTTCCATTTCACTCTCTTGTTTCCTTCTTTAATATCCTTCAACGCAACTTCCCATGGCTTTTGATTTGTCTCAGGCCTGTTGTAAAACAATAAAACCATTCATTTATTCATAAGCATGTTCTTCATTTGTTTATGGATTTAATTTTTTATAAGATTAGGGGTGTCCGAGATCTGGTCTGGACATAACTGACCTTCTTTTCAGCAAACCAAATCAAAAGTGCGGTTTAAAATATGTTCTAAGTCGTGTCAATTTGGCATCATGCGACCAAAAATCGGTCAAGGTGGACTACAAAAATATATGTATGAGCATGAGACATTCGATATTGCAATTGAAAGTCATTCGATAAAACTGTGCTATCGTGCTAATATAAATGGTGTAAAAGTCCATAATGTAATCTAATATGATAAAATAATGAATGAACTAAACTACATCGTTGTGTTCTTGAAAAGAAAAGAAAGGGAAGTAAATGGATTTTTTAGTTGTATTTATGAGGTGCTTACACGAATTCAGATATATAACTTTAATAAGTTGTACTTACGTACAATCTACTTGTAACATTGGGTTTTAAGTAAAATGCATTAACAAACAGTATTTTATGCATAAAAAGTGATTTTTAAGAGTTTTTACCAAATATTTTATAATATAGTATAGATACTCTTATTTATTTTACAACAGCTCTTAATTGTAAAAAAAAAGAAAAGTACAATAAAAACCAATGGACTTTCTTGTTTGGAATGATTAAGTCCTTAGACTTTTTTTTGGAATAAATAAGTCCTTGAACATTCCAAAACATGTTAAATAAGCCCTTGAACAATTTTTTGGAACAAATAAGTCCTTGGACATTCCAAAATATGTTAAATAAGTCCTTGGACAATTTTTGGAACAAATAAGTCCTTGGACATTTCAAAAAATGTTAAATAAGTCCTTGGACAATTTTTGGAACAAATAAGTCTTTGGACATTCCAAAAAATGTTAAATAAGTCATTGGACAATTTTTGGAACAAATAAGTCCTTGAACAATCCAAAACATGTTAAATAACTCCTTGAACTTTTATAAAACATGTTGGATACATTCTTATGACTTGTATAATTAGTTAAAGTGGTAAAATAGTGAGAAAAAAAATCCGGAAAAAACCCCAATGAACATTCATATTTTGAACGATAAAATGGTAAAATAGTGAAAAAAAATCCGGAAATATATTTTGTCAGTGATTTTTTAAACTAAAAAAAAATAAAAAAATAAAAAAATATATTAATCTTTTTAAATCTTTTTTTAATTTAAAAAATCACATACATGATATATATATATATATTTTTTTTTAATTAAAATAAATTTAATA